GGAGCCCCTGGCATCTGGGAGGGCGAGTGTTCCTTACTATTCTGAGCTCAGGCTGCCCCGGGAGCCCTGGCTGCCAGCTGGGCAGCAGCAGTTGGAGGCCACCCAGTCCCCTGGGCGAGCGGCAGGATCCCTTACACAGCTAGCCCCAAGACAGAGTGCGTGGCCGCAGACCGCGTGGCTGCCAGCCCCAGCCCCAGCCCGGGAGTCTCATTGCCATGAGCTATGGAGGCAGGAATGTGACTGTGGGAAACCCAATGCCCTGGGCCTGGCCCTGGGCTGAGGAAGAGGGTGCGTGTGCAGTGGGAGTGAAGGTCGCTGGGTGGAAAAGGAGCATCAGCCACCCCTGCAGCCTGGCTCTGCCTGGGCTCCGAGGGAGCGCAGAGGAAGCCAGCCCTCCCTCTCTGGGCTGTGTCTTCCCCCTGCCCCAGCTCGCCCCTCTAGCCAGCCTTCCCCTGAGCTCATGGGTGGGCCTCCAGCACGCTGCTGCTCTCCCTGTTCTAGCACCTTCTTCGTGCCCTTCCTCCAGGGAGACTTCCTGAATGGGACCTCCCAAGGGCCCACGTCGGTCTTTCCACCCCGCAGATGGCCCTGCCCTGGGTGCAGTGATGCACATCACTTGTCCTTCCTGTAGAGGTGTCAGGCCTCGAGCCTCCCGAGGGTGGGAGGGTGCTGTCCAATGCACACTTTCCTGTCCCTTCCCCTGGGACCTTAGGCCCGGGTGCTGCACTCCTGGCTTAGGGTGGGGAATGCTGGGATCCACGTGGTAAGTCTTCAGTGGATAGTGACCCAGTGCCAGATGCAGGGCTGGGTGCAGGGGAGAGAGGAGTGTGCATGTCTTGAGTGTGCACACGGGGAGATGGATGCAGGAGAGAAGCTTGGAGAGGCTGGGTAGGGAACGCCGATGCAGGCAAGGCAGTCAAGGAGGTGCCTAGGCCTCAGTGATGACTGAGCCGAGGGAAGAGCTCAAGTTAGCTCATCAGGGAGGACATTCCAAGGTGGAGAGAACAGCCCGTGCAAAGGTCCTGTGGAAGCGGGAAGGTGGTGGATTCCAAAGTTACAGAAAGCTGAAGGGCGTGCAGTAAGGAGGGGAGAGTATTGTTTGACACGAGACTGGAGAGATGAAGGAGTTAAACCGACACCCTTAGCACCACTTACTGAGTGCCAGGTGCCTGCCAGGGCAGTGGGTGCATTTTATGTAATATTCACCAGTGGTTCTCAACTGGGGGAATGTCTATTCCCCACCCCATTCCCCAGGGGACATTAGACAATGTCTGGCGAGGGGTGGGGGGTGCTATGGGCATCTACTGGGTAGAGGCCCTGGATTCTGCTGAACATTCAACAACACATAGCACAGCCCCAACAAATACTTACCTGGCCCTAAATATCCAGAGTGCCAAGGTTGGAGATACCTGCATGTTTATAGTCCTCGCACTGGGTGTTGCCACAATTGACACTTTACAATGAGGAACCCGAGCTTCGGGAGCTGAGCTTCCCTGAGGCACGCCAGCTCCCCTTCCCTGACCCACACCGTGTGTTCCAGGACGATTCTGACTCCCGGAGACTCCGTTCGAGGCCACGGCTGGGCTGGGAGGGAGAGCTGGCCTCCCCTCTGCTCCTGGGATCTGAGTGGATGCGTGGAGAGCTCAGGTCCCCCTGGGAGGGTCAGAAGACGTAAAGACGTTGGCCAGCTCTGAGGGTGGGGTTCTGCCCTGGGTGGGAAAGAGGGCAGCTGCAGGGCCCTGGTTAGTGGGTGTCCCGCAGCCCACCTCCTGTTCTCCCTGCTTCTTCCCAGCAAACTCCATCTGTCTCTGTGAGCAAGGGGGAGAGAGGAAGGAGGCAGGGCCACACTTGGGTGGCAGGTGGGTGGGGTGGGGATGGGAGAGGGCCTGTGGAGTGGCATGGCGGGGTGGTGGTCAGGGGCATTGGCAGTGGGCGCCTCCTCTGGGGGCAGGACAGATGGAGGAGCCCTGGCAGTGTGAGGGGCATTCCTGGAGGGAACACTGGTTTCTCCCTCTGAAGAATGGTCCTTCTCAGGGCCTGAGATACCTAGGCGAGCCTTCGTGGAGATCCCAGGGAGGGGGACACCCTTTCTGATCGCAGGCGGTGGCCCTGCCCTTGGACGGAGACCCAGAAAGTGCTGCCAAAGCCCCAGACAGAAGCCTTGGTGGGAGTGGTGCTGACGGAGGCGGCTGGGGGAGGCCCTCTAGAGGAGGTGTGAGGGGAGTGGGGATGTGCGCTGGCAGTGATCCGCGAGCAGGGAGGTCCCTGTAGGCACCTGGAGGGGGAGAAGGAATTCTGGGGCCTGTGTGCGGCCCAGTCGGCCTCGCTCCTTACGCTCGCCCCAGCTACCTACCTTTGGGGAGGAGGGGAGCACATGTGTGTTGCCAGGCTAAGGCGAAGGGGCTATAGAGTCCTGGACCTTCAGTCCCACCCCAAGTGGAACCTTCCCCCCTCCCCTCCCCCACTAAAGTGCACTGAGCTGCGTGTGCTATGCGTTGTTGCACCCGGGGGCTGGCCAAGCCATTTCCAGCGTCCTGATCTGCTTTCCTTGGCGTGCCTGCACCTCACGCCTGGGGTGGCCTGCTGGGCCCCCCAGGTCCAGCCCTATGCGCAGCCTCACAGACCCTGAAACTGGGAACGGTTAGCTGTTGGACTTGGTGCATGCTCTGGCGGGATGCCAGCACACAGCCAGGCCAGACGCCGCTCCTCGTGGGAATGCAGGATGCTTGGGGGCCACACCTGCCTGGGAGGGAGGATCCAGGCTTGCTGGCCTTTGGGTCTTTCTGTAGTAGCCTTCCCTGTCTGTAGTATGACACCCTCCCTCTTATCCTGCTCTCGTGGTGTGTGTGCGTGTGTGTGTGTGTGTGTGTGTGTGTGTTGAGAGACTGAGGGCTGTAGCTTCTGAAGTGTCCACTTTTCCAGCTCCCGGAATAATGTCGAACATCTATGGGATGTATGAATACCACCCCTAAGCACAGTTGCTAACTTCATAGTTTATGACTTAATCCCCCCTGTCCTGACTGTGCCCCATTTCTCTCATAGTAGCAAACATTTATGGAGCATTTATTATGTGTCAAGTGGTATGCTAAGAACATGTAATTTTTCTCCTTAATAATCACAGCAACTCTGAGACAGATACTGTAGGATTATCCCGAATTTACAGAGACTGGTTCAGAGAGGTTAAGCAACCTGCCCAAAGTCACACAGCCAGTAAATGGCAAGGTCAGAATTGGAACCCAAGTAATCTGGTTCCAGAGCTTGTGTTAAAGTTGTGGCCAAAAGAAGGGGGTCACTTCCTCTCTCTGTCAGAGAGGGGGGTGTCCTGTGGCGGGAGCTAGAGCCTGCCCAGGTGTAGTAGAACCTCGGTGTCCCCTGGGAGAGCCGATGAACACGTCCTTCCAGTATGCGTGTTTTATGGGCCTCCTTTCAGGATGGAGCAGAGGAAGACTGGCTTACCTTTCAGATGCATTTCTTTGTTGACCCCGAGTGACCAGGACAGGACTGGGCCGATCAATGGCTCTCCTGGCTAGGGAATAGCGTGAGCTTGGGATGGGAGCAGACGGGAACCTGGACCATCTTTGAGGAGCGTGACCGGCCTGGAGCTGAGGAGGGGTTTGAGGGAAATAAGCCCTGGTGTCAGATGGGAAGATGGGCCAGGTCATTGGGTCTGACCAGGACCATTCAGTAGTGAGAGCCACCGGAAGGTTTGGCTGGGGAGCCAGTGGTGACGGTGGTAATGACGCTGTGCTGGCTCTGGGTGTGGGCAGATCAGAAGTGGGAGGGTCAGCGCCCAGAGAGGCTTCTTGGACCAGGGGTCTGGGCGGGGGCCTGAGGGTGGGCGTGGTTTGGGGAGGGAGGCGCAGAAGTGGCCCTGTGCTTTGTATTTGGAGGCACTGGGGGACTGGGTAGCTTAGGGCCCCCTTAGGCTGAGATTCTTGGGAAATGTTTGCAGGTGGGGATCCCGGCTGCCCAGGAGAACGGCTCTGGGAAGTGGCCATTCCGGGTGGGCCTGGGTGGGGGATGAACAGGCCATCCACGGGGAGGCCAGGGCCTCCTTTCAAGGGTATGTGTGCTTGTATGCTAGCAAGAGGGACTGGGCCAGGAGCAGGTGTGGGAGAGGGGAGAGGGACTTAGAGAAATCTGCATGACAGCAGTAGGAGTGGACAGCGTGGGAGTGCTGCCCAGCTCTCCCCAGCCCCTCTGCTGAGCTCCTGGCTGAGGAAGGCTGGTGGGCCCGATGTCATAGAGAGCCCAGGCTGGGAGGCGGGGCTGGGTGTGAGTAGAGCATTTCCTCTTCTTGTATGGGCCTTGGTCCCTATTGGCTCACCAAGTCCCCCAAGCTACACAGAACCCCGATGAGTGGCGACAGGGTGGCGGAGGTGGCAAAGGGGCATCCCTGAATCAGGAGGTGGACATGGGGCCCAGGGCAGGTGGTTGATTTCCCAGTGGTTAGACCCCAGTGCTAATGAGGACAAGGGAAGGGGAATGACCATATAGCTTTAAGCACAGACTGGTTTCTGAGCCTCAGTGTAGACCCCCACTGCCTCCTGCTCTTGTCCCTGCCTCCGGTCTCAGCCTGAGCCCAGGAACCCAGGCTCAAGGGTGGACAGAGATGCTAGACCGGGCCCTCCAGACTTTGCCTCTTCTTAACTCATCCTGGTGGGCAGATCACCACTGGATTTTTCTGAAGATCCTCTTAAAGTCCCACCTTCTTCCAAACGCCAACCCTGTAGACTGGAACTACTCAAACTTCCATTCTGACTGGTCTGGTCTCCACTAGAGGGAGAAAAATTTCCCCGTGGACTTGACCTTGGAGTCTGTGGGCTGTAGGAGAGGTTGAGCCGCCCTAGGGTGAAGTTGGAGGCTGATGGCCCAGCTCTCAGCAGCCGAGGAGCGTTGTCTAGAGGTCTCCTGACCTGGGGACCGGGCCCTCTGGGTCAGCCTCCCTGTCACCCTCAGGCGTGGGGTGGAATCTGTCCTGACCAGCTCTGTGTCTCCAGGGCGGTGTGGTGGATGACAGGAGTGAGGATTCCCGGTCCGTCTCCACCTTGAGCTTTGGCGTGAACAGACCCACGATTTCCTGCATCTTCGACTGTAAGTGTCTCTATGGGGTGATATGATTGGGTGTGTGATCTTTCGTTTCTGTTTGAATGGGGCTGTATGTTCAGGTGTGTATGTGGGGCTGTGGAGAACGGAGTCTGTGTTCTTTTGGTGAGTCAGTGTCTTCTGGTGTGTGTGTGTGTGTGTGTGTGTGTGTGTGTGTGTCTGCACACGCACATGCCCGTCTAGGTATGGTGTGTCACCTCTAAGCTTCAAATCGGGCATTCAAGATCTGGTGCATTCTGGCTTCTCCTGTCATCCATTTAGCCTCCCCCCCTTCTCCTCCTCCTCTGTCCCCTCTCTCCAACTCTCGCCAGGCCCAAGGATACATCACTCAGGTGTCTACTGAGCTGTGGTCTGTTCTGACTTCTGCGGAGTGTGACCTGTGCCATTTCTATCGTTCAGCGCCTGTGCCTGCACCCTTCCCAGGGACAGACTCCACCTTTTCCTCTAACCCCGGCTCTCAGCCGCCTCCAGCCCCTCACTTGGCATCTCTGTTTCTCCCCTGGTGCAGACGGGAACCGCTACCATCTGCGCTGCTACATGTACCAGGCCCGGGACCTGCCTGCGATGGACAAGGACTCTTTCTCTGGTAGGTGGGGGGAAGGGAGGAGAGCCAGGGACCAGAGCTGAGAGCTGGGAACCGAGCCACGGGGCCTTCGGACCATGGGGCACAGGCCCAGGGCTGCTCCTGCAGGTGGGGGTGGTGCTTGCTGGGTTTGTGGAGGTGGCTGTTGTTGCCAAGGTCACTGTGGCTTCCTAGTTGTCAGGTGGCTGGCTAGACCCCTCTGTAGTGTTTGACTTTACTGACCATCCCCTCCTAAAAGCCCCTCTGGCCTTGACCCCCAGGATGCCCTCTCTCTAGGGTCTCCTGTAGCCTCCTCTTGCTCTACCTGCTCCTACCCAGGTGCTTCTCTGCCTTCTAAGCCTGGCGTTCCCAAGAGTATATCTGTATCCTCTTCTCTGGGCACTGGGGCCCCCGTCTTCCCAGCTTCAGTGACCACTCATGTCAGGGAAGCTTCTAGGTCTTCAGTTCCTAGAAGCCCCTTATGTCCAGCCACATCTTGGTCTCTCCTCTGGGATGCCTCAGAGGTACCTCAGTTCATCCTGTCCACACTGAACTTCCTATGACATTCCAGCCCTCGCCCCCCATCCTAGGCTTTCTGTGCATTTCCCACCTTGGTCCTGGTGTCCCATCAGCATGGAAACAGTCCGTCACCCCATCCTGTTGATTCTGAATCTTCCTCGAAAATGTCCCTCAGAACCGACCTTGTCTCTTTGTTTCTGGACACTCTGGTCATCTCCTGACCTCCCTGCTTCCTTCTGCACTGCCCCGGAAGGAGATCTGGTCATGTCACTCCCCCGATTTCAAATGTAGACACTGACAGATACATCCTCAGCTCTCCAGCCTGGCAGGCAACCCTTTTGTCATCTGACCGCATGGACCTTGCCAGTTTCAGTTTTCCCTGACTGCCCTCTATCCACTAGCTCTGGCCCCACCAACTTTTGTCATCTTTCTAGCCTTTGTCCCCAGTGTCCTCTCTGCCTAGAATGCATTCTTTCCCTATTGTTTACCCAGCGAACTCCTCCTCATCCTTCACGACCCAGCCCAGATGCCCTCTGACTCTTCCCCGAGCCGACATGGCTGTTCCTTTCTGACCACCCAGCACCTCTCTCAGAGCCCTGACCCGCTGCACAGGTGAATTGCCATCTGTCTCGGTCACATGCTTCCCCTGGTGACTGTGGGCTCCTCCAGGGGGGGCCTTGTCTTACCCTTGAGCCTGCAGCACTTCCTGTCTGAAGAACCGACACTTAATGCAGTGCTCACTATGCGCCCAGGCGCTCCACTGACATGATTTCATGTAACCCTTATAACTCTTGTGAAGTGGATATTTAACACTCTGTTTTATAGATAAAGAAACAGAGACTCAGATGGCTTAACTAATGGCTTGAGTTAAAATACCTGACAGGTGACATATCAGCCTCCAAAGGCTTGAGTAGCACCGAGCTCTGCTTTGAGAATGATTTGTTCACGGAATGGCCCTGCAGCTTAAAGCCACGTGCCTGTCCTCCCTCCCAGCCCCGCCCCTGCCCCTGCCCCTGCCCCACGGGGGACCTCTCTGGTTCCTCCTTCCCAGCAGCTGTGCCCCGCATCCCCTCCTCTCAGGGACTTGTTCTCCAGCCCCGGGCAGCCAGGCTCAGGGGCGGATAGAGCAATTTCTCCTCTGTGGCTTGGGTCCCGGGTCCCGGGTCCCGAGAGTGCCCTTTGCAAAGCATACGCAAAGCCAGCGGGCAGGGATTGCAGGCCAAGGGCGGGCAGCTGCAGCTCCCGGGGAAACTGTGCCAGGCGGCTTTCTGACACTTAGAACATACCCTGGGAAAAAAGAAGTGGACTAATTCACAACCTTGTTTCCTCTTCGTTTGGGGAGGATAGGAGAGGTGGGGGTGCAGGTGGCAGGTTTGTGTGAGGTGGGCGGGGGGGGGGTGGTGGGGCTCAGCGGGGAGGCCCTAGGTCTGGCGAGGACCCTGCAGGGAGGGAACTCCTCCAAGGAGCCCGCGCTAGGAGTCAGCGTGCACCTCTAGACAGCAGGCAGGCAGGCAGGCCGGCCTGCGTCAGCCTGGGACTGGCCTGCAGAGACGTCACACTTTCCATCCTAGCCCCACCCCCTCCCCCAAGTAAACATCCCTTGAGCGCTGAGGGCACTGCCCAGGGCTTCCTCAGAGGCCACTGGCTTCTGAATGAAAGGCCTGATTGAGCAGCTGCTGGAAAGGAAAACAGCAGCCAACACGGGTGAACCTATAAAACCCAGAGTGTTTATTTTCACTCCCAACCCCTAAACCAGAGCAATTTCTCCCCTGGAACTGACCCTGGGGCGGCTGGCGGCCGGGGCTGTGTATGGCCACCGGCTGGCATTTCTCAGAGGAAACTCCTGTGTGAATCCAGAGTGTCTGGGGCCGGGAGGGTCCAGTGCAAAGTCTGTCTCGCGTATGGTCTGGCCTGCCTGCCGGGGGTCTGGAACCCTCGGCCACTCTGACCGGCGGTGCCCTGGGCCTTGCCCCGCAGGGGTGGGCTCCAGTGGCCCCGAGCTGTGCTCCCGCCTGTCCCCTGTCTGTGGGCCTTGGGACTGCCTGGAGACCCGGCTGTGTCTGCTTCCTTCTCCCTGGCCGAGGGTTTGGGGGAACACACAGGAATTTCCCAGGAAACATTGGTCGAATAATAGTAAACTCAGTCAGGAAAGGGAGACTCGTGGAGATACTGCCGCCCAGGCTGCCCGAGGGCTTCGCCGTGGGGGCTGAGTGGACGTCCAGCACAATTCTCTGGACCACGGGAGGGGCACGTGTGGCCTGTGGTTATGGGTGTGTGGCCGTGTGGCGAGTGGGCATAGAAATGTAAAGTGAGGTTTAATGCAGATGACCTCTGTGATATTGGGCTGGGGCTGCCACTCCTGGGGGGCACCTGGAGAAGGCACTGGCTTTACTTTGGATGGAAAAGATGGAGCGGACTTAGGGCTCACATGTCCTCACACCAGACCTCCTGGGCAGCATCCCTTCCCCGGGAATTAGGGGGTGGGGGGCAGCTGTCTGCCTTTCCCAATTGTCCCCCACGGAATTCTGCTTTGCTCTCCCCCAGTTGGGTACCAACATTGCTGTGGTTTGAGGGAACCATAAGCTCTGCTTGCAGAACTGCCACCAAGACAGACGCTGTTTTGAGGTCACCGCAGTCCAGAGAATGGCCCTTAGCACGAGGGACCCAGAGACGGTCTCTGAGAGCCCCACAGGTAAGGGGGCTCCGGGGCCTGACCTGGCTGAACACGAGAGTGAGAGATGGTGAGCAGCCCCGGTGCCGGGGTGGCGTGTCTGTCAAGAAAAAAAGCTCCTGTGTCCTCTTTGCTGCCCTCGTGGTTCTGGGGGAGTCAGAGCCGTACCGGCGGGGAGGTCCTGGGGATGGTGCTGCGAGGCCCGTCTTCAGTGAGGGCTGATGACCTGCGGCTGCCCCACCATTGGGCAGCTCACTCTGTGGGGACCAGGGCTTTCGTCCCCCCCCCCAGATGCAGACCCTGTCCTGGGTGGGGCTGGGACATTCTTATGTTTGGGCTCCCTGTGTCTGGACTCCAGGCAGGGTCCACCCCCTCTTCTGAAGCACAGCGTTCAGGGAAGGCTGGCTCTGCTTGGGGGAATTTTCTAGTTGAGCTTAAGGAGCTGTTTTCCAAAGTGCATCGGAGGCTTGTGAAATGCTCCACTTACAAAGGGTTCCTGAGCAGGAGAGGCTGGGGAACGCTGCACACAGAGATTTACAGTGCGCCCTGGCCTTGAGGGGCTCCGCGGCGGCGGCCGCAGAAGGGGCCTGTGTGATTGTTTGAGAGAACGCACATTTCGAAGAACACATTTTGGGAGACGCTGATCTATCTACATAGGATTCAGTCCAAACTGCTCAGCGGGAATCCAGGACTGTGCGTGATCTGCCGCCTCCTCCTCCCTCCGCTGTCCCCCTGCTCTGAGCCCTCTTCTTCCTCCCCTTAACCAGATCAACTCCTTGCTGTTTCCCACGCGTCTGTGCTCTTTGGAGCCTTTGGTCACCTGTGCTGGGTGCCTCCGCACCCTCTTTTCCTTGGTCTGCCTTGGGAACTTCCACTTGTTGGAGATGCAGGGTAGGCGACCACCTGTGGGAAGACTGACTTAGTGTCACCAGGCCACACCCAGCACCCCCCGCCCCAGCACCTTATACGCCCGCCATTAAGTTGCACATCTCCTTGTATTGTAACCGTCGTTTAGTGACCACTTCTAACCGGTAGTCGTGATCTTAAGAGCCTGGACCGTGTCTCATTCATCTTCATATTCCTAGCCCCGTGCTTCCCTCCCACATGTGGTTAGTCAATCATTGTATACTGAATGAATGATGGATGACAAATAGCGCTGGAGTGAACATCTTTGTACATATAGGTTTTGGTTAATTTGGATGATGCCCAGGAATATGGGAAACGGGGTATAAACAGTGCTGTGTTTTCCTGGGCATGCTGCCCAATTGCTTTCCTGAAGAGCTGCTGAATTGCATCCAGCAATGAAGGGGAGCACACCTAGTTCATCAAACATGTGCCAACGCTGGGTTTTATAAATCTACACAATTTTTCTTAATTTTATAGCAAAAATACTGCTGTCTTACAGTTTTCATGTGCAGCGCCGTACTGTGACGAAGTCTGCTCTCTTAGGGACCCTTACCCTGTAAACATGGCAGCAGGAGCACTGGGCTGGGAGTCATGGTGTCCAGTCTGGGCCATGCGTGAGCACGGGCTAGTGACCTAGTCTTCCTGGGGCAAAGCTCCCGCTCTGGCAAGTGGGGTGATGCTACCTGCCCTGACCCCTATTCGGGTGCTCTGAGCTGGTTGGTGGAAGGCCCACGAGGAAAGCTTAGGGTATGGGGAACGCAGAAGTGTCCGCCCTGGAGCTCCAGGAGGGTCTGAGCGGCAGAACTGGGGTGCAGGACCCCAGGTCCAGAGAAGCATCACCTGCTTGGAGCCTCTCCTGGGGATGGAGTCCGGCAGGACCTTCTGTGATCAGGGCCGGAGCGTCCCAGGGCAGCTGTGGTCCTCAGGGAGCTCTAGTCCAGCCGCATTTTACCTCAGCTCTGGTGGCACTCTGGCTGGCCTGGTGGGTAAGGCCTGAGGGCTCGCGCCGGCCTCTCCTGTGGGAGTGGTGGCCCTTCAGAGAGCGCGGGGCTGGGCAGACAGGGAAGAGATGGCCCTCACCCCTCCTTCGCCTCTCCTTGGGATCTGCTCCTCCCTGCTCTGGGCTTTCCTGGAAGAGGGATGTGTCTGTGCGTCTGTCTGGCTTGCCTTCATCTGACCACCTTGCTTCAGCAACACCCACCCCCACTTGCTTCTTTTTTTTGGAGGGGCTGGCCCCTGTGGGGGGGAGAGGCCAGGCCCCAGCACACAGTAGCCCAGTGTCTGAGGCCCCAGGCCTCCAGGCCTGCTCTTTACAATGCCTTTGTTGTGTGTTTTTTCCTCCCATGGGCGGGCGGGGCGCGTGTGTGGGTCTGGGTGATTTTTGTTTGAAAGCCACCCCCGCCCGTCCCCCCGCGCTGAGCTCATTGCTGTGCTGATGGGCCTGCTGGAAGGAGCCGGCCTGCTCAGGGGCCAGCGTGGGGGGTGCTGCCAACACCAATACAGTGTGCACAGCCGCTACAATGTGCAATTGTGATCTTTGTGTAAACGCGGTCGGTCTGGGGCTCGCACGCTTATAAAAATAAAGCGTTGGGAAGCACAGGGGGTGGGAACAAAAGGGGCTTTTTCGCCGGCTCTCTAATATGGTTTTATTTATCGGAACGCTCCCTCTTTCCCTTACTGGAACCAGGGAGAGGTTCTCTGCCGAGCTTGGAGCTGATGGTATCACAGCCAGACGGTTTCATTAAATGCACAGACGCCGCTGGGCCCTGCCAGGGGCAGGAAGGGAAGGGCTCGGGCCGGCCCTGCCAGGCTGGTGCATGGAAGGGGGAGCCCCGTGCCAGGGAGGCTCCCACCACGTAGCGGTAGTGAGATGTGGTAGCCTTTCTCCCCTGCCAAGAGCCTCCTACTGCCCTCTTCTACCCCCAGAATCAGGTTCCAAACCAGTTTCCTGCGGGAAGTCCTCCAAGATTTATCCCATGGTGCCTTTGTGCCTGAGGCTGAGGAGCTCATCCAGGCTGGTGGCTGCCTCCTGTTAGCCAAACCTGTCCTTGTTCAGCCCACAGCTTCTGCCTCCTAACTTAGATCCTCTTCTCCCTTAAACCCGGCCCCGTGGCTGACAGCTAGAATCTTAGACCCTGCTCCCTCCATCCCATAATGGGAGTCCTCCCATTGCCCACCTCAACCTCCCCACCTCTTCTACTGTCACTCTCTGCCACCTCCTATGCAGTGGCCGTGGTGTGCCATTTGGTCTCCTTCAGGCCAAGTGTCCTCTCACCTCCCGTTTGTGGGGAAATTCTGTCTCCCCATCCCAGCCCCAGGATTGCAGGTGGACATCCCAGCACCCTTCTGAGGCCAGCAGGGCAGAGCCATTACTTCTGAAGCCCTTTTGAGGCCACGTGTGGGGTTAGGGACGGCATTGGTTCGACTGTGAGGTTCAGAGGGTGCGAGGTACTGCAGGATGGAGCAGGTGCGAAGGGGATAGGGCATGTGTTAGAGCATTTGGGCTCCACCTTCTCAATACATCTAGCACCCAGCTGCCAGCCTCCTGCCTCCCTAGACTTTGCTGTCACGTGCCCTCAGCATTTGGCATTTTTGAGTCTTATAAAACGTCAGCCAACTGGACCCCTCCCCCAGGCTGATGCCCTAATGGGAGAAGTTGGGGAGCCCCTTCTCCAGGCCCTCTGCTCCTCTCGTAAATTACACGCACTCGGTCTCATAGGCCCTTCTCTTGCATTGGTTTCCAAAGTGTGGCCCTGGGGGCCGATCAGTACCACCTGGGAACTTGTCAGAAATATAGATTCTCAGCCCCCAGCCCAGACCTGAAGCATGAGTCTCTGGGGTGGGACCCAGCCGCCTGTGTAAGCCTTCCAGGCGGTTCTGCTGCATGTTCACACTTGGAACCACTGCGCTAGAATCTTCTCTAGTGACTCCAACCTTCCCTGTGGGACTGGGCAGAGGGAGTGACTAGTGCAGTGATGGCGAACCTTTTGAGCTCGGCGTGTCAGCATTTTGAAAAACCCTAACTTAACTCTGGTGCCGTGTTACATATAGAAATTTTTTGATATTTGCAACCATAGTAAAACAAAGACATATTTTTGATATTTATTTTATATATTTAAATGCCATTTAACAAAGAAAAATCAACCAAAAAAATGAGTTCACGTGTCACCTCTGACACGCGTGTCATAGGTTCGCCATCACTGGACTAGTGGCTGGGTCCCAGGCCAGCATGGCTGGGGCCGGCGTGCGGGAGAGGAGTTTGGGGACAGTAGGAAGCTGCAGGGGCCTTAGGGTTCCTCTCACACCACCCACAGCTCTTGAGTCCACGTGCTTCTCTCTGGTGCCTTCCCGCCCATTTAAGCCACCACCATCTCTGCCCGGCCTCTTCCAGTAGCCTCTTACCTGGTCCCCCCGCACTCACTTCTACCCGCTCCGTGTGGCAGCCGGAGTGAGCTTGCTGAAATGCAGCCCTAGGCATGCCATGCTGATGGCACCGACATCTCTGTTCTACCCCCGCCCGCCCCCTTCCTCAAAGAAGCCAGGTCTCTTCCTCACACACTCGACTGCACCTTATCTCTAGTCTTCAAAGCACTGACCAAAATGGTAATTTTATGTTTGTTTGTATGAATCGTGGTTTTGATTCAATTGCATTTTCAGCCCCTAGCGGCCTCTAGCCCGGCATACAGAAGGCACTCAATAAATGCTTGTTGGATGACTGAATGAACTAATGAGTGAGCCATCCAGGGACTCACTTCTTCTAACTGGACCTTGCCCCCTGGGGATCAGCCCCAGAAGGAGCCCAGAAGGGGAAGTTCTCTGGGTTACTGTGCCCTCTTGCCTGGATCCAGGCTCCACTTCCCAGTGGTGGCCCACCCCGCCCGCTCCTGGAGGTCAGGGAGAGCCCGGGAAATGGGCGCCCACTTGACGCTGTAGCACCAGCCGGGCAGGCACAGCTCTGCTCCAGCTCTGTGGCCCGAGTGACTCCTGAGCAGCCCGTTCTCACGGTCTCTGCTGTGTCCTGTCTCCCGTCCCTTCCCCCGCCCACAGATCCCTACGCAATCGTCTCCTTCCTGCACCAGAGCCAGAAGACGGTGGTGGCGAAGAACACCCTGAACCCCACCTGGGACCAGACGCTCATCTTCTACGAGATCGAGATCTTCGGCGAGCCGGCCACCATCGCTGAGCAGCCGCCCAGCATCGTGGTGGAGCTGTACGACCAAGACACCTATGTGAGCCTCCTGCCTTCCTGCGTCCCCTCACTGCCCACTTCCTCCAGGGGCCCCGGGAGGGACGCTGCCGTGAGGAACGCTCCCCAAGCAGATGGGTGCCCCCTGAGGCTGGGACTGATGCCTCTGCCCTGGCCCCACAGACTGCAGCGTGGTCAGAACTATTTTCGAGGAACGAAAACGGGATTGCTAGCGCCCGTGCTGTGCCCACAGCAGAGAGAGGGGACAGGTCTGGAAAGGAAGGTGCTGGCTGTGGCTCACAAGCCGGGGTTTTCTCTGCCTCTAACTTGCTTACAGGGCCCCAGGCCAGTCCCTTCTCCTCATCAGCGTGCTGTGTTGACGCCACAGACATTTGTTAAGCACTTTGTGCTGGGCTGGGTGGCCCCTCACATTGGGGTCCCAGTCTAGGTGGGAGCCGAGACGCACCCACAGACAGAGAACCCTCCAGGGAGACAGTGGGTCCCTGAGTGCCACGTGGCTCTGAGGCATAGGCAGGCCCTCTAGCAGAGCTGCCCACAGCGTGTCCTTTGCTGATGGAAATGCGCTGGGAGCCACTAGCTACATGTGGCTGTTGAGCAGCTGAAATGTGGCTAATGCAGCTGAGAAACTGACTTTGGAATTTCATTTAGTTGGAAGTAATCAAGCTTTACATGTAAGTAGCCGCAGGTGGCTAGTGGCTCCCGTATTGGGCAGCACGGCTGAGGGAGGGTGCACTGTGGGCTGGATGTGCAGAAGCCTGTGGGGAAGATGCAGCTCTGGAGGAAATGTGGGATCGGGTGTGGGTGTTGGGAGGAGGCAGCCTTGGGGTGAGTGGGAGACCGAGGAGAGAGGAGGGCAGGCGGGGAAGGAAGAGAACAGAGAATGAGGCCAGGGGAGCAGGGGAGTGACAGGTCACAGTGATGTTTTAAAAAGAGGAGAGATGAGAGAGACTATGTCAGCTGATGGGGCATGTGGCAAAGAGGTCACCTCCGAGGTTGGGAACAGCAGTGTGATGAAAGGGGAGGAGGCAGGTTTTGAAAATGTTTCCAGAAAGAGTTGCCATGACCGGATGTCAGGTGTCCTGGGAGGGTGTGGAGATGGGGGTGGGGAAGGTGAAGCTGTTTGGGGTGCCTCCAGGTGGTGGGGGCCAGCTGGCAGTGGGCAGTGCAGACCTGGGCTGGGGAGTCAGCCTTCGAGCTCTTCCTTTGGAAAGAAAAGCTGGCTCTTTGGGAGTGGGGTGTGCGGATGAGCAACTGGAGTCTATTTGGGATTGTTGGGAGAAGAGCACAGGGCCTGGAGCCTTTGCAGCAGGAGGAGGGAGGTAGGAGGACCAGGAAGGTCCTGGGCTGAAGGAGCAGGTGCAGCCATGACCTCTTCTGGGTGGGTGGGCTCCAGGGACCTGGGGGAGAGCAGGGGCTGTGCTCATTGTTAATATAGTCAAGCTAGTCCGTACTGTGGCACACACCCTGAGCTCCTGCTGTCCTGGCTGCCCGAGCTCTGCACGGATTCCCCTACCCCAGCCTCTCTGTGACCCATCGGTAGGACAATACCTGCCCAGAGGAGACTTCAGGAGCCTTCCCAGGGCTGGGGCTGGCGTCCACTCTGAGTGGTTGCTGCTGGACTGTCATTTGATGATCTGGGCATTTATGCAGCAGCTGGTGGCTACCCCAGAATGGCTCTCTGGGGTGTCCCCCGCAGGGAGGTGACTGCACTCCAGTCCTGTTCTGGGTTTCTCCAGAGGAGGGCCTTGAGCAAATCGCCAGGGCTTGTGAGGGCTGCAGCACCAGCTGGCTGAGACCCACGTTCTGTGCCCTCCCTCTGCCCTTGGGAAAGCTGACCACAGGCCAGCGAGGTCACGGAGGCTGAGCTTGGGCAGGGCTGTGGGTCATGGCTAATCAGGGTAGAGGGCAGCATGGCTGGAACCGGCCCATGCAAAGGCCAGCGGTGAGAGACCAGCCAGGACCAGCAGGCTGGAGTTTAGGGTGTGCCAGGAGGGAAAGACAGGGCAGGAGAGGTGAGCAGGCTCCAGGAGGGGGCCTTCCGTCCCAGGGGAAGAGTTTGGACTCTCTCCTCTAGGCAGTGGGGAGCCATGGAAAGTGCCCGAGCAAAGGACGAAACATCATTTCAGCAAGACTCATATAATTCGATGAGTGTGATCAGTTTCTCTACCTGGAAGGTGGTAGAATTTAAAGGTGAAATGAACAGGAGAAACAAAAGTCCTTGGAACTATCAAATGCCTCGTCTGTGAGGGCATCAGGGAAATGCCAGGATCCCGCCACTCTGGTCTCTAATTGGCTCAGGGCTTGATTAAATTAAAACAAGGCCCTGCTAGTTGGACATGCAGAGGCTCTTCCTCCCCCACCGTGACGGGAATTCACATCTAGCAGCAGTGACCAGGGCCACTGCATGTTGTTCTCGAATCCTTTTAAGGGGGCAGAACTCACCATTCAGCGCCAGGGGCTGCCCTTTAGGGTTCTGGAGGCCCAGATGTGGGTCTGACGATCCTTCTGAGGCCATCAGGGCCCTGGGCTGGGGATGCTGACTCTTCTTTCTCCACTCCCTGTCCAGGGTGCAGACGAGTTTATGGGACGCTGCATCTGTCAGCCGAGTCTGGACCGGATGCCCCGGCTGGCCTGGTTCCCCCTGACTCGGGGAAGCCAGCCGGCAGGTGAGCTGCTGGCCTCTTTTGAGCTCATCCAGAGAGAGAAGGTGAGGCTGGGCCATGTCCAGATTTAGGAGGCGGGGAGTACCTGGTGGAGGAGTGGGGGCGGGGGGTGGACACAGGCAGGATCAGCCTGTGGAAGGCAGGGGGCTGCCGAGCCATCCTCTCCCTCCACCGGGGGCCTGACAGTGGGGAGCACTGCAGGGAAGTCAGGCCTCCTGCTGAGACGGGTCTCAGCCATCTTTTCTGAACCCCAATACAGGACACGCTCTAACTGTGGGGTCCAATGCTGGAATCTCTGAGTCCTCTGGCCATTGGATGTATTTCCCCAGGGTCATATCCTGAGGTTGTTTCTGGTTGGGGCGCAGGGCCTTAATTGTGATGGTGGTGGTGGTGGTGGTGGTGGTAGACTCCAAGGACAGGGAAGGGCAAGCCCCCTGTTCCAGCGCTGATGTGCCACAGCCCAGCTGTGATCCCGGACCAGCCCCTTCCCTGCTGTAAAGTAGGGGGTTGGCATTAGAACCAAATCATCAAACTTGCTCTTAGTGTGATGTGAACCCCAATGTATTAGCCAGATAGAAGTGGGGCTGCTCCAGGTGAAGTGTCTGGAGATGGAAACAGCCTATGCCAGCCTGGTTCCCGTGCACCCTGCCTCCAACTCCCAGGCAGCTCTGAGGGACCCCAGGCCTCCGAGGAAGAGAGCGTGCAGACCCCTGGACTGTCTGATCACTGGCATATGCCACGAGTGTCGTTTAGTGGTTGGCGATGGCTTTGCCTGGCCAGGGCAGAAGGGAAGGTGAGGGGCCTGAGTGACAAGCACCTGAGCGAGCTCTTTTCTTCCCTCTAGCCGGCCATCCACCACATTCCTGGCTTTGAGGTAAGTCTGGCTCTCAGCTTTTCTTCTTCAAACTCCCTGCTGGCCTCCCTGTGTTTGTAGCTCTGTGCTTTGCTAGCACGGGCAGCAGGCAGAGGAGGGCCCAGTGGGGCCACAGGGGTGGGGTGGATGGGGGGCCGGGGTCTTGGCCCAGCTCAGGCCTTTCCTGCCCGTCTTCCCTGAGAAGATCACACTCTCAGACTGAAGGGACCTCACGATCAGCCAGCCCAGTGCCTCTTAGCCTGGTTGCAGGTTAGAATCCTTGCGAAGCCTTCAAAATCCCGGGCGCTCAGGCCCCACCCCAGACCAAAGGAAGCAGGATCTTTCCGGTGTGGCCCAGGCATTGGTGGTTTTCAAAGCCACGCGGGGGATTTCAGTGTGCAGCCAGGGCTGAGAGCCATCGACTAGCCAGGTGGTTCCCTGCGCGGCATCACGGGGATGCTGTGGGAAGTACTTCTTGGGTCCCGCTGCGAACCTACTGACGCAGACGTGCAGGGGCCGCGCGCAGCTGCTCACAAGCCTGCGGAGGGTTCTGGTTTAGACCGTAGTTCCCAGCCCACGGTGCCCACCCTGACGTGACCGTGACCGGGAGAAGGAGGCGAGGCTCCCTTGTCCCGCTCTCCTTCTTCCTGGGCGTCACGGTCATGCAGACCTTTCGCTGTGGTGCCCAGGCTAATTGGCTTCTCAAAATACTACTCTTGGCCGGGCTCAGCTGCAGCTTTGGGACGTGGTCAGCGGGGCTCTGTTTGGATGCCTCCCCCTTAGAGGCAGCCCGTACAATTTGCAGACAGCTCTTACCATGCAGACCCTCCTGCCCCCTGTCCTCCCTCCACCTTTTGCTTCATCCCCCCTCCCCCTTCTCTCGCTCCCCATTCCTCTCCTGTCAAGTCCAAGCTCCTGATCTCAGTCTGCCAGACCCTGGGGGACTCGTTGTTTCTTCTTGGCTCCCCAAGTTCACGTGCTCGGGTAGGAGCAGCAGCTCCAGGACCTGAGGCCTGTCTGCTTCCTGGGCTGCCGCACAGGCCCGGGCCCTTCCCACCACCTGTTTGCCATTTTCCTTTCCCCTGTCTGTCACTTCCGGACATGCCTGGGCTCTAGGCTTATGTTTTGGCCCCCTCTCCTACCAGTTCCTTGGGATCAACGTCCATCACACCTTCTTTCTCAGGGACCACATGGAGGGCGTGGCTAGAAGCACATGGCACTTGCGGGGGATGGGAGGTGGTCCCTGTTGGCTCCTCTTAGGTGATGTCTGGTGTGCTGATCTCTGCCCAGCCTAGTGCGCTTTGTCACTGATGGCGAACTTTTATCCCCCCTCTCTCCTCTTTCACCATCTCCTGGATGTGGATCGTCCCATGATGTGGTCCAGGTACAGGATACATCACGGATCCTGGAAGAGGTGAGGTAGACCCTCGTGGCTGTGGCGGTTGCTGGGGGGTGGAGGGGTGGGCAGAGACAGAGGGGAGGTCAAGGCCATCTTCCGGACACGTGCTTTGGAGCCTTCATTCCCCTCACTCTGTGTGGATCCAGGGCTGCCTGGGGTGAGTCCTGGAGTGATTCTGGCCTCAGAGGACTGGCTGTCCTGTTGAAGGTCAGATTCATCTAGATCTCATGGTTGGCAGTATGCAGTCTCATCTGGCCGAGAATCAGGTGGCATGTTTTCAAGAAGAAAATGTTCATAAGAGGCCAGAGTAGGCAAGGAAGCCTTTCTGGTGGAGGTGGCATCAGCCAGGCATTGTTGCAGGAAGAAGGTGGGAAACCTGCCTTTGGCCCAAGGGGACAAGCACCAGTTTAGGGCCTGAATGGTTCGGGGCCTGGATGGCTGAGGGGCTAGGTGGGTTGGGGACTCCTGGTTCTAGAAGAAGTTTGGGGTTTGTCCTTTGCCATGAGGATGAGGAGTGCATTCCCTATGGCTTCCTGCACATCTGGGAGCGGGTCCTCATGAATGAGTCGGGCAGAGGCCTGGGCGGAGAGGCAGGAAGGAGAGCCCTGGTCAGATGGGGGTTGGGCAGAAGGCAGCTACTTCCTGCCGTCAGGGAATCCCCAGGCAGGGAGCGAACACCATTTGACATTTGCAGTGCAATTTGGACTTGAAGTGCAGGGTCAGGATGTGGGATCTGCAGGCCCCGCGCCCCTTACCTCACTTCCTTTTGCTCCCAGACCGAGGTGGGGTCCGCCAAATGAGCTGGCCGTAATTGCGCCTGACAGGCAGCCTCCTGCTCTTGGCTGCAGTTGGAAAGACTGCCGATTTGGAAAGGGGAGCAGAGTCCTGTCCAGGGAAGCAGCACGGAGCCCTCTCTCAATTGAGAGCATTCTGTGGCCAAAACCCACAGCCTGCTCCAAAGAAGACCCAGCCCAGGGATGCGTTATTAAAAAAAAGTTAAAATCCTTAATAACTAACTGGATCTGTAATATATAACAGGGAAGGCTCAGATTCCGAGAGCGAGGATCAGGCTGTGGTCTCCTCGTCAGGAAGCAAAGCCAGATTTGCAGCTTTTGGGCCAGACCCCAAAGAGGGCCAAGTGTCCTGCTGCCGGGCCGGCCCCAGAGCGAGGGGGGCGGTGGGTCACCAGGGCCAGGCGAGAGCAAGTCCTGTGGAGTGTAGAGTGGGGGGTGGGGGGCAGGGGGCACAGGGCTGGGCTAGCCATCACGTTCAGAGGATCTGGGGCCCCTGAGGATAAATGGAGTAACAACTCACCCAGGGAACCACCCCAAAAGATGACCTGGTGACCCCCTCATCCCCAGGGCCCGTAGCTCATCCACTTCCCCTGCTCTCGAAGGCTAAGCCTCATGCCAAGTCCCGAGTCCTGTTTGGTTTTAAGAATCCTTTGGTACTGGGTGGAGGCAGGGGTCCTGCCGCCGCCGCTGTTTCTGCAGGAAGCTTTACGACTTTGCAGGGTTAATCTGTCTGCGTGAGCTCAGCTCTTGCCTTGTATCCCCTGTTCAGTCCCATCTAGGTCTCAGCCTGATCCCTGTGAGGATCGCTCCAGGAGCCCGTGGGGCTGTGATAAGCCAGGCCAGGGGCTTAGATTCTTAGAGCAGAGAGGGCAGATGGGTGGTTAGCAAGTTGTCTGGCTGGGGGGAGACCAGCTAGGAGGCTTCGGTGACTCTAGGATGGTTTAAAAATGGTCCCTCCGGTGGCGAGTGCCTTGAGGCCAGCGCAGCCCAAGGCTGCGTGGGAGACAGTGTCTGTGAATGAGCTGAAACGCCATCTGTCTGCGCTGAGGGCTCCCAGAGCAGATGGAGGACAGTGGGGGTGGCTTCCTGGAAGAGGTGACACCGAGCTTGCTTCTGAAGCACAGACTGGCAGGTGGGGGCGGGAGTGCAGGTGTCAGTGCTTTGGGCTGGAGGCTGTCATCACTAGGGGCCAGTTTGTTGGGTGAGATTTCTCTCTCCCCAGGCTTTACGCCCATCCAGAGGGTCCCTTTCCGGGGCTCTTGGCAGGGAAGGAGAACTGTGGCGTCCTGCGGTTGAGACTTGGGTGACGCCTGGGAGGCCTGGGTCGTTGCAGAGAGCATGGGTGGAGGAGGGCATCTCTCCTGGCTCCCCAGCCTGTTTGTGTCGCCGGCTGTTTCCCCTCTTCTGAGCCCTGCTCGCCTTCCCCTCTTCCCGCTCTCCCTTCGAGTTTCCCTCTGCCTCCGTTTGCTCCTTGGCCCTGGCTCCCTCTCTCCCTCCTTCTCCCGCCTCTTCTGAGCCCTCTGTCTCGTTTCTTTTCCTTTTTGTCTGGAGAACAAAGGCAGTCCGTGCTGCCAAGGGGAATGAGTTCAAAGAAACTGCAATTTTAGATTTCCTGAGAACTGGAGAGTGTGCACATGCACGTTGGAGTGTGTGCGAGTGTGTACACTCGCATGAACACACACACACACACACACACACACACACGTGCACGCACACGCGGCAGGAGAGGGGCTGGCTGACTCCTTCCTAACTGGGGCTGGGATGTGGCATGTGCCGAGGAAGACCCACCTGAGGCCTGAGGCGGGAGCAGGGGCTGAGGTCCTGACCACTGAAGCGGGTGTGGGACTGGTGCCCTTGGCTCTGCTTCTGCCCTGCTCCGCGGAGGGGATGCCCTGGTAGGAGAGACCGCATGCTCTGTGGCTGTTTTCAGGAGGCTCAGGGTCCAACCAGATGTTACTCCCTCAGCCCTTCCAAATCCAGGCGATGGGGTATGGCGAGGTCCTCTCCTGCACCCCCAAATCCACTAGGAGAAAAACTTTGGTATTTTGCAATCAAGAAAATAAACCCAGTGGTCCCCCATCCCCCATCCCCCCCCCAAGGCCTTAATGTAAAACACTGTTTTTCCTCCCAAGTGTAATTAGAGCAACATGTTGTTCCTAACGAGCTGGGTGGGGCAGGCAGACAATGGAGCCCTCCCAGCCGCCTGGCTGCCCCTGCCTGGAGCTCCCTGAGGAACCAGGATCTGAATGTCTACAGGTCCCCTGACTGTACCCCTTTGGGTGAGATGGGAGTCTATGGGCTACTGGTGGTGGGACTGACCTAGGTGGCTGGGTGGGCTTGCCAACATGTCCCCCGGCCCTAGGAATGAGGGTCTGTCTAGTGTGGTGGCTCCTAGGACGGGGGGAGGAAGTCCCCCTGTTGATTCAGGGCCTGGGCTAACCTGTACTGGACTGACCAGCAGGATGGCTAGACTAAAGGGGCATTCAGGTGGACTCTGCTCTGATGGGGAGAGAGCCAAAAGCCCGCACCCCTGTAGAGGCCCATTAGCAGAGCAGCCTCAGGTCTGCCCTGCATTCAGGGTTGGGTGGGGAGGGTGGCCAAGGAAGGGCTTGGTCAAGTGTTGCTGTATCTAATGAGGCTTATATCCTAAGGCTGCCCCGAGGTCTGTGTCCCTCAGGGTCCCCTGTCACACACAGGACAGTGAATCAGGATGTCCTGGTGGCACTTTCCGTCTACACCCACCCCTGCCTGCCAGTGCTGATGTGCGTCCCCAGTTCTGATAGGGCCACTGCAGCCCACCCTGTGGAGAGTCACTGCCTGGAGAGAGGTGGTGCCTCAGGTTGGCCGGACTAGAGAACAGCTGAGAAACTCGTGCACAGAGCTGCCACCTGGCCGGGCCACAGGACTCTCACGTGAGACGTCAGAAACCTGTTAGGATCTTGGGAAACTGGACACAAGGTCACTTAGAATTCAAAGAAGTCAGAAAGCAGGCTTATAAGAAGTTTCTGGAGCGGTTGGGGAGGCTCTCTGGGGGCTGGAGAGCTTGCACTGGGCCCTGAAAGATGTCATAGGCTCAGAAGGAGGGTAAGGGAAACCCATTCAAACCGCGGGAGCCATCAGCAGGCCCAGGGGAGGGAAGGCCTGGTGAAGACCCAAGGATCGGGCTGGAGCAGACAAGGAGGGGAGAGTATGCTGGAGCCAGTTCTTCATTCACACATCCACCCACCCACTTACCCCTCTGTCCCCACTCCTTCCCTCCCTTCAGCTATCTATTCATAACCCTTTATTTATGGGACAGGGGATTCAGCTGCGGTCCCTGTGTGCAGAATAGCTGGTTTAACCGGGGACACAGACAAATGAACACATAGGGATGGCACAGGATGGTGTGTCTTTCAATTGGAGAGGATCAAGTTGCTATGGGAGCCATGGGGGTGCTTAAGTTAGGCTCAGGCCCTTCAGGGAAGATTTAATGGAGACCTAAAGCCGAGTAGGAGGTAGCCAGATGAAGTGGGCAGAGAGCATCCTGACAGAAGGACCAGAGCTGCAGGCCTCACAGGCAAAGACAGCATGGTGTCTCCTGGAACCTGCCAGGGCAGGCACTGAGCATGTTCACGGTGGTGGCTTATCTCTCTGAGGGCTTGGAAGGGAAAGTTATCTGGTGAGAGGTGAGACAGGAGAAGTCAAGGGCTAGAAGATGAGGGGTCTTGGAGGCCACGTCAAGGAGTTTGGACTTCATCCTGAGTGGGTGGGGAACCTCTGATGGGTCTTAAACAGAGTGACATTCTTAGGTCGTGCCTCCTGGCTGCAGAGCACAGCATACCTTTGTTGCAGGGAGTAGATGTGCAAAACCAGGTGCAAGACCACTTGGCAGGATGCTGGCGAATCCAGGCAAGAGGGGCGGTGACCCCAGCTGAGGAAAGAAGACAGGTGGATGCACATGCAAGAGATTTAGGGGACAGAATCGCCAAGGCTAGGCGACGAGGGGAGGAGAGCTGAGGATGGCATGGGACTCTGTGGCCGGTTGTTGAGTGGATGGTGGGGTGGGTTTCTGACATGACATTTAAAAAGAGCGGGTTTTGGTGGGGAAGGTAGGGAATCCACTTTTGGGTAAGTTCAGTGTGAGAGGCCAGTGGGACACAAGGATGAACTGAGCAAAAGAGATTGGGACCGTGGGTCTAGAATTTAGCAGAGATGTTTGGGAGCAGAAAGCCTGGGAGACGACTGGGCAGAGGAGGGGACTCAACAAGCAGAGGGTAGGGGTGGAGGGCCAGTGTGGGACCAGAGAGATGGTTTTAGAAAGGAGGCGGAGATCAGCTGGGCACCTGCTGCTGAGTGAGCGACGACAGAAAGGAGCTGGTGAGGTATGGCCTCTGGGTCAGTTACGAGCAGGTCGTTATTAACTTTGGGGATAGAAGTTTTCAGGGAGAGGATGCAGGGAGCCAAGCTGAAATGCACTGGGCAGAGGGCTGCATGGAACTGAGAGGCAGTGGATGGGTGCAGTCCTTCTCAGGAAGAGAGAGAGGAGAGGGAGGCTGCTGGAGAGGACACAGAGCAGGGTGGATCTGATGGACCGGCTTTAAATGAGGAAGGAAAAGATTTAGCAGAGCCCTAACCGGTTTGGCTCAGTGGGTAGAGCGTCAGCCTGTGGACTGAAGGGTCCCAGGTTCGATTCCGGTCAAGGGCATGTACCTTGGTTGCGGCACATCCCCAGTAGTGGGTGTGCAGGAGGCAGCTGATCAATGTTTCTCTCTCATCGATGTTTCTAAGTCTCTATCCCTCTCCCTTCCTCTCTGTAAAAAAATCAATAAAATATATTTAAAAAAAGATTTAGCAGATAGTGGGGAAAACTGGGGGGGACGGGGGGGGGGGGCTGGGTTAAGGAGCCAGAGAGTGTTTAGGCGTAGAAGCTCCGTGATAACCTAACCAGTATGCACAGCGAGGAGGGGGCACAGAGGGCCAATATGGCAGCTTGCAGGCCTGGTGGAAGGGGGGCCTACAGCGGCAGGGGGCCTGGGGAGTGGCAACAAATGACAGGGAGCAAGGATGTTCTGGGACCCCGGGGGACAGCGAGGTGGATGGAGATGAGCTGGCCTTGGGATGCGGATGGTGGCCTCGTGCGGAGGAAGCTGCTCTATAGACACACTCTAACCACTGTCTTTGCTTGTCTCTCCCTGCTGCCTCTGCCGGCCTGGCGCTCCACAGCTGTGTGCACCTGCCTTCTTCCTCCAGGGCCTCCTCCAAACGGTACTGGAGTCTACCCTTCTCGAGGTTCTGGTTCCCTGGCCACCTCTGTAAATAGGTTCCTGGAAATGGGGAGCCTGGTCCTCAGCATATAGAGAGGAATGCCATCGACTGGAGCTCAAGGGAGCCTGAAGGAAAGATGCAACATGGAAGTGAGGGACAGGAAGGGATCAAAGGGACACTGTCCAGAGTTGGGGGCCTAGAGAAGAATGTCTGGGAGGAAATACATGAATGAGCTTTCCTGGGTGATTTTGGGAGAATGTTGCAACCATGTGAGAAAGGCTTATCTTTCTGTCTCCCCACCCAGGGCAGCTTGGGCGTGGTTCCCTCTCTGACACCTTCTTTTTGCCCCTTTGCATCTTGGGCTTTTGGCCCTGGGCCCACATTGGACTGGGCATCACCCTCAAGCAGGCCACAAACAGGCCAGGAGCAGGCCTTCAGGCCTCACCCTTCCCTTAATGAGGCAACCCTTGATGTGCAGTCGCTGCAGCTGGTGGCTTGGAGTGCCAACGGTGGGCACTCAGCCAGGTGTCCCCATAGCAGCCAGGCCATTGTGGTGGCCATCCAGGCCCTGCCTGCCCCTGCCAGGGGCACCATTCATGCAGACTGTGATGTGCACAGCAGTCCCTGGAGTTGTGCCCCGTGGCAGCCCTGCACATCACCGCCCCCTCCTCCTGATGGCATCTGTCTTCCGCCACCCTAAAAATGCAGGTGCTCCCTACATCGTCGTCTGCATTGTGGGTCTGCAGGAAACCGGTGAATGTCTTCACGTTGTGCCCTGGTGACATAGGGACAATTATGAAGCCAGTGTTCTGAGAGATGCTTTCGGTGGCTCACATCTCTTCAAGCCACCCTGGGAGATCAAGGTTAATGGTAAAAACCAAGGTTGGGTGGCACCAAACAGCAATACAGGAACCAGAGTCACCACTATCTATGAAGCACTTCCTATGTGCCAGACACTCTCTATATTTGTTCTCCACCTGAATTCTCACAGCAACTTTGAAGGGTATTATAATCCCAGATCTTCCCATGAGGGTATGAGTCACAAAGGTTGGGTAATGTGCCCGAGGTCAGACAGCTAGGAAGCGGCACGATGGGCATGAGAACCAAGGTCTGGTCTGATTCTAGACATGAGCTCCTTGCCACTGCAGGCCAGGGAGCATGGCAGCGTGGCTGTGCCATTGGGCCGGAGTGACAGCGGGGGCTGGCTGCGAAGGCTGAGGCTGGAGCGAGCTGGTGTGTTTCTCCTGCTGCTCCAAGGACCCGTGTCAGAGCATCTGTAGGTGGATGCACTGTCCTCTGAGACAGGACCCAGAGCAAGTGGCTTGGAGAATGAATCCAATCATTCCACCGTTTATTAAATGAGATCAGACGAGGCAAGCTCTGTAAAGTGCCCAGCAGAGCCCTTTTAATTATAGTGAACATTTCCCGAGGGTCGGGAACTCCATGTGTGGACGTGCAGGTTGTGCACTGCGCAAGGGCACTGTGTCCAAGGAGGGGCAATTTCCAGGGCAGACACCGTAGATTTGTATTTATTATAACAAGTTTCCAGTAGGTGGCAGTAGAGTGTCTTGTTCTAATAAACGAGTGAGGTATGATGATTTTCGGACGTGGATGTAAAGGTCTTTAAGAAAGAGACATCTTTCTCTAATTGTCACAAGGGTGCCACGTGGGCTAGCAGTCCGACTATTGAGAGTTTACATGAATCAGACACTATTCTAAATGTTGTTTTAACTTCTTCAAGCTTCACACGAACCTTTAGAGGTTGATACCTTTTAATACCATGTCATAGATGTAAAAAAAAAATGAGCCATAGAGAGGTGAAAGAACTTACTTAACTCAGTGAGTGGTGGAGCCAGGATTCATACCCAGAGCCTGTGTTCCAACCACTGTGAGACGGGGTAGTTGCTTAATCCATGGTGGTACCTGCTTCCCTTGCCCCATCTGCTTCCCCATATAATTCTTCGTGATCATTGGGATTCCTGCCCACGTCTTTTTGGCAAACCCTTAGAAGGTCAAAGTTGACATAAGCTGTGCTCAACTCTGGTCTGTGGTGGTGAAGGAGCCTCCCCAGCAGTGCCCTTTGGTGCCTGTAGATGACGGGCATTTACATACCTTTCTCCTGCTGGGACATACTCTGACTCCCAGTGTAAGTGCTCTGTCCTCACAGCAGACGGTAGGAGAGCGGTGTACGGGCTGACAGTGTCTGGTGTGGTATGGGATAGGGATGGTACTC